ATTTTCACGGCGTTGCAATTCTATAAAAATAAATGATAATAATAAAAGCGGTTTAAACTTAATAAAAACACACAAGGTATAACATGTATTTAAATCAGATATTTAGCCATTATAACAATTTAAGCGACCGTGCTAGAACCACGGGATTCGAGGGTGCCTAACACCTTCCCTCGGGTCAACAGAATTCCTTACTTAGAATTTCTGGTTCGCAGACTTCATTTGGAAAAGTCGAAAATTTCCTCGATTTGGGATTCAAGATAAACCGGTGACTTGGGACACCAAAAACCAAACCTTTCCCAAGTGGCGACTCTGAATTAAATAAATAATCTCATTTCGAATATTGTCACTTAAATTGGAAAAACTTTCTCGCGCATTTAACCCTTCGGGGCCGGGCGCGCAAAAAGGAGGTGTGACACCAATTTGTCAAAGAAGTGGCTACTCCTTGCTGAAGTAACATCAAACATACCTTGTTTGCAATAAGTTTCTCAGGGACATCAAATCTAGTCTCTTCGAGATAGCTCCCTGCCACAGCCTTAGAACTCATTGTTTTTTGAAGTGTGGTCTTGTGCTTTCTCCCGTTAAGATGTGCAGCCATAGCAGTCTCGCCAGAGCACCTCTTGTTACAAGTACCACGCCACAGCGTAGAATTATGAACAGCAACATCAGCACTCTTCAGTTGCTTTGGCCTTTCTAGTAGTCCTTTCATATTATTCTCAATCCGAATAACATTTACCTTCAAATGCTTAACCTGTAGGTCCACTGGACAATTTAATAACTGGCGTACAGATTGATTATGCTTGATTATAGAAAAAAACAAAACTTAAGAGCTTCTCATGAGAATTAAACAGAAGCTCAAGATAATACTAAGATATCGAATGCAAACTTCAAAAAGAATCTACAAGAGAGTAAGGAAAAGAATGGTACCCAAGGATGTGGTCTAGCGGTCAATTAAGTTGATGCAAACCTTGGACACCAAGGTTCAAATCCTGGTACAGACCAAAAATACTAGAAGTGATTTCTTCCTATCTATTGATACCTTAGTGGGCAAAGTTACCTGGTACCTATGCTGGTGGCAGATAGCAGGTACCCGGTGGAATAGTCGAGGTTCTTGCAAGTTGGCCCGGACACCACCATTACCAAAAATATAAAAAAAAACTAAATAAGGAAAGATTTAATTTCGCTGTTAACTAAGGAAAATTCAGATTTTTTAATGCTTTCTTACTAAGTTGAGAAGTTAACAACAGTTTCATACAGTACGGGGAGCTACGAATAACAACTGAGGAACCTGGTTGGCGGTAACCTTTCCTGCTTTATTACAAAGTTGCTATATTGCCCAGTAGAATAATTACCTTAATTTACAACAACAACAACAACGAAAATACCAGTGGAATATGTAGTCATATATTTCACATCCGCAATGGTAAGAATCTAACATGGAATCTGACATTTGGTGACTGAAATAGAATAGTAGTCTCGATTATCATCTAACTAGCTGAAAATAAGTGAGCATCCAATTTTCTGATGAAGTGGCTACACCTTGCTGAAGTAACATCAGACATACCTTGTTTGTAACAAGTTTCTCGGAAACATCAGATCCTTTCTCTTCAAGATTCCTCTCTGCCACAGCCTTCGAACTCATTGTTTTTTGAAGTTTGGCCATTGCTTTCTCCCGTTAAGATGTGCTGCCATAGCAGTCTCGTCAGAGCACCTCTTGTTACAAATACCACACCACAGTGTCGAATTATGAACAGTAATATCAGCACTCTTCATTTGCTGACCAGCAGCTGCTAGGTTGACCTTTTCTTTCAATTTTAGATTGGTACTATTGTGCTCTGATCGTGCTGCAGCTGCATGTTTAACTTCCTCCTGCTTAAGCTGATTTGACTTGTTTGATGCAACAGGTGCGTTGCCTTCATTTTTGGTTGTCTGCTTGCAGGTTTTCAGCCCTTCACACATTGCCCTATGTTTCCTTCCGTTAAGATGGGACTTCAAGACATGCTCCGACTTTGTTGTCACTTGGAATACTGCACAACTCCACTCTGTCTGAACTTGCTTCAAAGAAATGGTCTCTGAGAGTTTAATCTCTACAGCATCTTCTGGAACTGCTGTTTTCTTGACCTGCATTCCTTTCGTTTTCCTCTCAATCTGAATTAGATTTTCCTTCACCCTTTTAACCTGCAGTTCAATGAGACATTTTAATCTCCAGCAAACTGATTACTTTTGCTTGATATAGAAAATCAAATACTCCTTCTGTTTCATTTAATGTGGCACTATTACTATTTGGGGAGCCTATGACCAGGATTTTCAATTTTATGATACTTTTAATTTTAGCTGTTGTGACTTACAATACTTTCTACGCAGTTTTCACATATGTAAAATTTATTTTAGAACACTTGAAAAATATATGTCTAATCACACTTAAAATTAAGTAGTTTGACCATTGTACTCCCCAAGTCCAACCCGCCAAACAAAATGTAACAGAGGAAGAACTAGGCTAGATTAACGTGGTACTGATATTTTAAAAAAAAAATTAAGAGCTTCAATGCTCTCCCTTTTTAAATGGCTTCAAGGCTCGAGACCATACCAGATAAATGAATCTAAATCAAACTAAAACAAGGATTAATTTTACAAAGTGCACCAATTAAACAGGATCTCAGTGTGCATTATCAATTGCCATCTTGCACAGTTAGCTTTATCATGGGAACATCAAGCTCTCCTCTTGTCATCAATTAACAGCTTGTTTAATAATTCATCTATTGTTTGCTCAATAATTACATGGGGACAAGGGCAATACTTGTGAAAACATAATATTAACTAAGGAAAATATATCAGGGCTAAGAAATATAACCTGTTTGGGCTCAGCTGCTTCATGTTTTGGCATGTGCTTCATCACATTAATATATCTTCCCAAACAGGAACACCCCTCTGTTTAGGGGCACAATAATTATTATTTACGGCATGAGAAGAGACAAAATGATTTTCACTATAAAAGAATTAGTTCGGTTGTTAACAAAAGGAAAATTCTCTCATTGATGCTTCATTTAAGAAAACTGATAGCTGCATAATGTTAAATACATTAACTTATGGGTTGGAAGGTACACTGTGTCGATGCAAATGAAGCATTCATGAATTAGCTGGAAATAAGCAAAACGTCTGCATGATGTGTGTGTTTTATGTGTGCGTGCAAACCAATTTGTAGTTTTTTACCCAACTACTAATGCAACTTGTCAATTCGTTAAGGAGTAAAACACCAATAAATAAGAAGTTGACAACTGTTTCACACAGTACAGTACAGTACAGGAAGCTAGGAAAAACAGCTGAGGAACCTGGTTGGGATTGAGCATTCCTGCTTCATCACTATTATTTGTAGTCTTGATTTCTTCTACATGATGATTCAAACTAAAATACTTGGACTGCAAATAAGAGATCATGATGAATATACTTTTTTAAAAAGAACCAACAGAATCCAGTGGAATAAGTAGTCATACATTTGCTTCAACGATGGAAATCTAACTTAATGAATTCGCAGCCTTAATTCTCACACAAACTGGCTGCTACATGCTAGAGTAACATGTGATGTACCTTGTTTGAATTAAGCTTGTCCGGAGCATCAGATCTATTTTCTTCCTTTGCCACAGACACAAGTGATTCACAGGGTTCTTCCATTGGCTTGTTAAACCAGTCAGTGACAGTTTGAAGGTTGACAGACAAGCACAAACATAAAAGGCGTTGGTAAACATCATAAACCTGAGTGATAACATTCACCGACAAACATGGATGAATAAGATTTCCATAAAAATAACACGCGCCATTAAACTGAGGTATTACCAACCAACATATGGTATGTAATTTTATATATGGCCACAGAGGAACCCTGCCAGCCAAAGTAAATGGAGAGACATTAGTACATGCAACAGGAGTAATTTCTCATGTTCAACCACATATGTTTCTTGGAGTGCCCTCAACTGCTCACCATAGGAATTTAAGAAACTCAAACAAGAACAAACATATCATTACCATTGGATAAGTTTCTCAAAAAGGCAGTCGAACAATGAAACAAAGGAAAAGATGGTCCAATATGTGACTAGCTTCCTCATGTGATACTTGGAGCCAGTCTCAATCGCTCTGATTGAAGCACATCTGCGGTTCCACAAAAGAATTGGTAAACGACGTTACCAGCAACAATAAATACTACACCAGTAACCGAAGGGATAATAAAAGCACTCAATAGTTGAAACTCTGATATGGGCTAGGACGCATTTGGCATGGAGAAAAATGTTTCATATGGAAAATATTTTCTACAAAAAGATGTTTTATCCCTCTCTCCGTTTCCGTTTCAGTTCATGTGAACCTATTTGACAGGGCATATATATTTTGTGTAGCTATAAATCAGTGCATAAAGGTAAATTGATTCCAAATATGAAAAGAGGTCATTCTTTTTGGCTAAAAAAGAAATATGTTCACATTAATTGAAACGGAGATAGTACTAGATTTTAAATTGGTTGGGTGTAGAAGTGGGTAATGGTAAAAATTAACAAAAACTGAAACAAGTGATACGAAATAAAAGTTGTGAAAAAGGGGCTTATGTCCATATATTGAATTGAAAGATCACATTTTGCTTTATATACTCTTCCCATATATGGAGAAATGGGGACACTTACAGAGGATATCCAAGAGCAAGTACCGGCCTGCAAATTACAGAGCAAAAAAACAAGAGAGTATAAATACACAACCACATATACATACTTACTTGAAAAGTAAAAGAAAAGTGATCAGCGAAATAACTAATCTGCAAGCTACAAAAGCTAAAACCTTGGCCATATTTGCCGCCTTATTTACCGCTCGCAAAACAAGAATGTAAGAAAGAAAATAGATTTACCACGCGAGGAAATCGATCAAGTGAAGCGTACTTGTGAGAAAACCCATTTTGGGAAATTTAATTTCTTTTAGTTTAGCTTTCCTACAATTTCCTCCGCTGGAGTTCTACTTGAAATGAGTTTCTATGATCAGAGAAAGGAACAGAGCTTGTACTTTTGAAGAGGAAAAGAAAAAAACACTTTCCAAAATAGGTCTTTTGTTGTGATTAATAACATAAACACCCTACAAAGGTATGCTATGCGGTATAGTGAAAAGGCCAATGAGTGGTAACTTCGGAAAATTAATTAAAACTAGTCTTTATGTACGCGATGACGCGCGTACTAATAAGAACAAATTCATGAAAAATAACATAAATATTCAAAAGATGTATTTGTGTTATAAAAAAATTTATAAAATAATTATAATTCAAAAATAATAAATATTAATCATGTTTAAGAATTTGGATCAATTCCAATGGTTCTCTCCATAGGCGGACCCAGGATTTGGCGGCCGCAGGGCACCATGACATTCAATATAAATTTATCGTTGTTCATAAAGATTGGTACGGGGCATGCTAATATCTGACTATTTCTTGAAGACATTTACAAGAATACATCGAGTTTTTGTCAAAGTTTTCGAGTGTCGGTGACCCCTCTACGTATAGTGTGTGTCCGCCTCTGGTTCTCTCTTCTTTTTTTCACAGTCTTGATTCGATTCTAAAGTTAAAGAAATTGATGGCTCGCAGTTTTGATTAATGAGGACAACTAACGTTGGATAACTCATACAAGAAGTTAAAACAATTCCTATAAGCAAATGGAATTCTACTTTGGTAGTTAAATTTACAATAAANTTCTTGGTCTATTAATTTACATGATGGATTAGTGCGATTGCTGGATACATTATTGGTGATTTTTATACTAATTTTATCTAAGTTCAAATGACTTGAAGCTCGTATATTACAGGAGAAAAAATAATATAGAAAAACATTACTTCCTTCAAATATGAAATTGAAGATATTGTTGCTAGCAAATTCATACTAATTATTCTTACAGATGTTGTGTAAAATAATGATCCATGATTAAATAGTGAGGGAAACTTACAGGTGCAATTAAATATTGCATTCACACTCAACTTTCAAAATCCTTTATTAGGAAAAGTATTATAAAATGAAATAGAATTATGTTATAGAGTTTAATAAAGAAAGAGTTTATATAATGCAATATTTTATTTAATTTTTAATGTCTTAGATTTTATGATTTGTGAAATAATTTAAATAAGGAAAGATTTATATTAGCTTTAATTATTCAAATTTATAGGTATTCAGAGGAAAGTGGGTTCTTATTAGTTATGCGTGATTATGGTTAATATATTTAATTTAAACTTATTTCTGTATAAAATGAGTTTAAGAAAGGTTATATAAATTAATAAAAGATAGAAGCTTGAAAATAGAGCTCTCGTAATTATTCCGTTTGAAAACTTGAACATATCAAAGGATCAAATTAAAGGAAAAAAACTTTAAATAAGAAAAAGATTTATATAAGGTAACTTTTAATTAATTTTAAAGTCTTAAACAAGATTTGTTACATAATTTTAATAAGGAAAGATATATAAAACAAAATTTTAATTGATTTTAAATCCTAAATATTAGAAAAATAATTAAATGACTATTTTGTCTAGTATTAAATCTGTTTTTAAAGGGTAAAAAAGGCAAAAGACATTTCGCTTAGGGCCTTCGTGCTTTTAATATAGTATAGATAGACGATTCATCTTTCTATGTACCAAACTTCCAATTAAATGAAAGCCTTTTGCTTCCGAAAAGCTGGAGTTTTCATTTAAAGTCTGTTTGGAAAGCCACCAGGTAATTAGAATTGGTATAATTACTAGGGTAGTAATTACACAGCCTAATAATTATACAGTTGTGTAATTACGACGACCTGTTTGTTTGTCATAGTGTAATTGTAGGTTTACTGTTTGGTTGCACAAGTGTAATTATACAGTTAGATTAAATTTTAAATGAAACAATTATCAAAACTTAAAAGTTAATATAATAAATATATGCCTATAATTTTTAATAAGTATAAATGATATTATATTTGATATTTAAGATGTATATTTTTTCGTGAATATACATTAATTAGTAATCATATATTTATAATTAATATTGTAAAAATAATTTATGTATATTTTTCAAATTAATAATATTTAATTTAGATACTTACAAAAACTAAAAATATACGTTTTGTAAGAACATCATGGAATTCATGTTTGATAAAATAAATTAATATTTATAAATATAATGTCATGACATAATTCAAATGTTTGACAAAACTAATCTATCAGTTCTAACTAAAAAATGAACAATATGCAATTGTGAGCCAATACTACTAAAACAAGTAAATTAGAACCATGAATATAACACAATTTCAAAATTCAAAAAAATAGTTTAACATATGTCAAATTCCAACATAATAATAGTAAGTTTTACTACAACTTAAGACTATGAAATATAATAAGTTTATAACCACATTCAACAACGAAATTTCATTTTAATTGCATCACTCATTATATGCCAAGTTTGTTAATGACTTATTATTTCTAATATTAGGAGGTGTAGTTTCAAAAAATAGAATAATAAAATAAATAAAAAATAAAATATAAGCAATTACATGAAATCATAAGAAGTAAAGGTAGAGAAATAAAAGATAAATAACGTACAAAGAAAAATATATTTTAAAATTTCAAAAGAGATTAAAAAGTAAAAATAAAATTAAAAAATTAAAGTAATAGAAATAAAAAGTTATAAAGAAAATAATTAAAATAAAACAAAAAGGAAAAAAACTAAAAGGCAACCTTGTAATTATACTGTGTAATTACCACTAATTCTTACCTCTTCCTTGAGAATTGGAGAGTGTAATCACACCCTCCAATTACATTCAATTTCATGCTGATCAAGTAATTACTTGGCCAAATAAATATGTCAAACTGTGTAAGTACACCCAAATCCATTTCCAAGGTAGCTTTCTAAATAAGCTCTTACTGGTTTTTCTAATTTGGATGATTCTACCGAGTTGTAATTAACACCAAAAATTAATGAAACTTCAGTCACCATAGTCCTTTCAACTTTCATTTTCTCCCTTAAAATTAATGCGATTCTCTTTTTTCATCTGTACTGCTATCTTCCCAATTGCTCCTCCTCTCAAATCCTTAATGATGAAGGAACTTGAAAGTACAACTACTTGTTTTTTTATAACTAGTGATAAAGACTAGTAATTAAGATGCGTTTAAAGGTCAAATAAATATAAATTTTGCAGGTAGAGTTGTAGATTAAAAAAAAGGTTGAAAGATGAGTATCCTGTAGGCAAAAGAAAGAGGAATAATAATTTTGTTTGTACTAAATTTCTGTTATGCACACATCTAGAAAATAGATTGGTTATATAGCTTTATTTTACATTGTTACAAGAGATTATTTTTTTGAGTTAGAAAATATGACCTTCGGATCATATAACAACAATTCTAATTATCGGGTCTCAAAACTCATCAATTATGAAGAGGAGAAAATCCCTTATAAAATATGAATTCTAAAATATTATAGCGTAAAAAAACATTACCGTCACTGGGCTAAAATAGTCAGAAAGTGTAGACTTAGAAGCATTAATTATGTTACGCGGCACCTTCCTGAGATTCCTTGGAAGGGCGACGTAAGGCTAAGCAGCTAATGTCAGTGCAGTTGCTGTCCGCCAACTGAGGTCCCCTCCGTACGCTAGACTAGATTGTCAGTGTCGTACGGGAAAACAAATGTCAAGAGCAATTGAGAGAACAGGAATGAGAATTGAGATTGAAAGAAAGCTTGATTGCATTAATGAAAGCTATTACAGAAAGGCAACGCGGTGTCAAGGGGGAGAGACACCAGTACAGAGTATTGTTTGCTTGCTAGAAAGTTTGATTGCTTGATCCCCCTAATAATGCTTTAAAAAAATAATCCAAAGCTACAAGACTAGACTTGATTAAGCTAGAGAAACATAATGGAAGTACATGGAATAAAACTACTCTATATTTACAATGAAAAAGACTTAGTTTGCTATAAGGCAGAAAACAAGTCCGTTGTCAGCAGCATAGTCTTTGGCATCAGGGTCTGCGCGCGCGGCGTTGTCTGCGCGCACGGTGCTGTTGGCATCTGCCTGCGGTTGGGCGCTGGCGAGGGATATCGGTGGGGCGACAGAGGCACATGCGCGCTTGTCACTTG